TTGCAAATCATCTAATAACAGTTTAATATGCAGAATATGGAAATAACATAATAAAAAGAGACAACCCAATTAAAAATTAGTCAAAGGATTTGAATAGACATTTCTGTAAATAAGTTATAAATGGCTAGTAAACACATGAAAAGATCTTCAGCATAACTAGTTTTTAGGGAAAAGAAAAAATAAAAAAAATTTTTTTTAAAGACCGCAATGAGTTATCCCTTCACACCCTCTGGATGGGTTATCATCAAAGAGTTGATGTACAAGGCTGGGCATGGTGGCTCACGCCTATATCCCAGCACTTTGTGGGGAGAGGCAGTTGTATCACTTGAGCTCAGGAGTTTAAGACCAGCCTGGTTAACATAATGAGAATTCATTTCTACAAAAATTAAAAAAAAAAAAAAAAAAGGTCTGGTGTGGTGGCATGTGCCTGTAGTCCCTGCTGTTTCGAAGTCTGAGATGTGAGGATCACTTGAGCCTGGGAGGTCGAGGCTGCAGTGAGTCCTGATTGCATGTCTTTAGTCCAGCCTGGGTGACAGAGTGCATCCCTGTCTCAAAAATAAATAAATAAATAAATAAATAAATAAAACAGTAACACATGATGGAGAGCGTGTAGGCTAATTAGACCCTTCATACATTGCTGATGAGAATGTAAAATGGTATAGCCTTTTTGGAAAGCAGTTTGTCATGTCATCAAATTATATACTTGCATGTTACCCAGCAGTTCTAGTAATATTCCCAAGAGAACTGAATATGTAATTCTAATATGCAGAATATGAAAAGAACTTGTGTCCACACAAAAACTTACCCGTGAATATTTACAGCAGTGTTATTCATAATAGACAAAGTGGAAATAAATGTCCATCAGCTGATGAATAAACAAAATTTTGTACATATCCATACAGTAGAGTTTAATTTGATCATCAAAAGGAATGAATTACTGATAATATGCTACAACCTTGAAAATATCATGTTAAGTGAGAGAAGATATAAAAGAGTGCACATTATATAATTCATTTATATTAATTGAATAAATAGGTTTATGCCAATAAATTTGACAGATGGACAAATTCAATGAAAACACAAGTTACTGACATAGATAACAGAAATGAATAGCTCCTTAATCTATAAATAAATTTGATTTGTAATTTTAACCTCACAGAGTAAAACACTTTGCACAGATAGTTTCATTGGTGAAGTCTAAAAAATATCTAAGAACTAGTTGGGCATGGTGGCACATACCTGTAGTCCCAGCTACTCAAGAGGCTAAGGCAGGAGGATCGCTTGAGCCCAGGAGTTCTGGGCTGTAGTGCGCTATGCTGATTGGGTTTCCGCATTAAGTTCAGCATGAATATGGTGACTTTATGGGGCAGGAGACCACCAGGTTACCTAAGGAAGGATTAACCGGCCCAGATTAGAAATGGAGCAGATCAAAACTCCCATGGTGATCAGTAGTGGGATTGTGCCTGTGAATAGCCACTGCACTCCAGTCTGGGCAACATAGTGAGACCCTGTCTCTAAAAATAAAATTAAAATGAAATGAAATAAGATATTTAAGAAATAATGTTAATCTTTACAAACTTTTTCCAGAAATGAGACACCAACTTGTGTTAGAAGCCAGAATAACTCTGATACTGAAACCTGTTAAAGACACTAAAAAAAAAATTATAAGCCAGTGTATTTCATGATCATGGATGCCAGAGCCTTCAACAAAGTACTAGCAAATCGAATCTCACAATAATTAAAAAGGACAATACACACCATGACTGAGTTGAGTTTATCCCAGGGATACAAAATGGATTCATCATTCAAATCTCAGCCCGTGTAGGCCAGGTGCAGTGGCTCATGCCTGTAATCCCAGTGCTTTGGGAGGCTGAGGAAGGAGGATTGCTTGAGCCCAAAGTTAAAGGCCAGCCTGGGCGACATAGGGAGACCTCATCTCTACAAAAAAATTAAAAAATTAGCTGGGTGTGATGCACACCTGTGGTTCCAGCTTCTCAAGAGACTGAATTGGAAGGATCACTTGGACCCCAGAGATTGAGGCTGCAATGAACTGTGATTGCACCACTGCATTCCAGCCTGGGTGACACAGTGAGACCCTCTTGAAATAAAAAAATCTCAATGTAAATCACAGAATAAAATAGAAAAGTCGATGGATACAGAAAAAGTCGTTTATTGACAGAATTTAATATCCATTTGTCATCAAAACTTATAGTAAGGTTAGGAATAGAAGGGAATTTACTCAGTTTGACAAAGGATATATATGAAAAGGCTACAGTTAAAGTCATGCTAAATGATGGTTTATTGAATGTTTCACCCTAAGAGCAGGAAAAATGCAAGGGTGTCTGCTCATTGTAGGCATTACTATAATACATCGTGTGTGTTCTTAACTTTGCCATTAAAAACAGTGCGATAAAAACGACAGGACTTAAGGCGGAAAGGGTTACTTCTAGGGAAAAGGGTTAGGGGCACAACATCCAAAAACTTATACTGACAAAAAGACAGGAACCTAATACAAACCAGGTAATATGTATGAGAAATACATAAAAAGTACAATAAATATGGCATTTCACGTTGCAAAGACTGGAAGTTTGCTTCCAGAAATGCACATGGAAGATTTGCATCATGACAGGTGAAGTGAAAGGAGGATTTTCTGAAATTGGACAAGTAATTGTAGCACCTGATGTGAATGCATACAGCTGATAACATGAAGTAGCTGGTCCATTTTGGAAATGTGCACATGTATACATTGTATGTGTTCCTAGCAGATTGGTTTAGCTGGGTGAAATTTTCTGTGTACCTGGCATTTCTTGTGAATAATATTTGCATATGTAACCATAAAATCCACATTATGCTCAACTTGTTCCCTAGAAGTTGCTTTGAAACAAGTGCAAAAAGCTTAGTTCACAGAACATATGTGAATTTACCAACAGGCACATGAAAAGGTACTCAACATCTTTAGTCATCATGGAAATATAAATTAAAACCACAAAGAGACATTGCATTAAACTCACTAGAATGACTAAAATGAAAAATATTGACAGTACCAAGTTTGAGGACATGGAATAACCAGAACTCTCATACATTGTTAGTGGGAGTGTAAAATCGTATATTATGTTGACAAATACTTTGGCAGTTTTTAAGTAAAGTTAGAACATATACTTACTCTATGACACAGCATTTCTTTTTCCAGCTGTATACCCAAGAAAGATGAAGACATGTTTCTACAAAAGACTTGTGAATTAATGTTCATAGCAGCTTTTTAAATAATAGCCAATATCTGGAAACAATCCTAGTATCTATTAACAAGTTTTTAGATAAGCAGATTGTAGTGTATTCATTAAATGGCATGCTACTCAGCAACAAAAAGGAATTAATTACTGATATGTACAGTAACACGAATGAATCTCAAAAGTATTATGCTAAGTGAAAGATACTAAATTACACAATACTGCAATTCTGTTTATATGAGAATTTATTACAGGCAAAACTAATCCGGTGTTGTACATCATTATTAGTGATTTCTTGGGATGGGAATGAGGGAACTGACTGCAAAAGGCACAGAGGAACTTTTGTGGGTAATTGTAATGCTCTATACTTGGGCTGACAGTTACTCATTGTCAAAACTCATTTAATTGTACTCTCGATTTCTGCATTTCACTGTAAATGAATCATAAATTTGACTTATTTTACAAAGTTTATTAGAGCAAGATGAGGAATGATGTTTTGAACCGCTTTCTCTCTAATTCCTGCTTCCCATCAGTGTTTCATAGTTACTCAGGAGCTTCTTTCCTTATCATTTCATTTCAATCTTGTATCATAGCTGCATGACAGGGATAATTGAATGTTGTTTGTAAATAGGCTGAGTAGGCTATAACTAAATGCTGCTTTTTTAATGTGCCATTTTTAGCTCTTTTTATTAAAGGATATATAGGATAATAACTGTAAAATCATGTTTGAATATAATGATTATCTTAAATATGTAAGTCTTTGGAGGAAGTGATACTGTATAGTGGTTAAAAGATGGGACTTGAGTCAAATTAGCTTTAAATCATAGCTCCGTGACTAGCAAGCTGAATGACACTCATGACTTTAGACATTCCATAAGCTTTAATTTTTTTTCATCTGTAAAATAATGATAATAATGTTTACCTCAAGTGTTGTAAGGATTAAATTAGATAATCCATATAAAAAGTTTTAATACAGTATCACAGTAAGTGTTCAGTAACTGTTAGCTGTTATTATCCTTTTTTCAGTGAAAAGTGCATCAGCCCTCTCATTTGCATAACTCCTTATATGTCCAGTGATCATTTCTTTAGCTGCCTAAAAGAATCAGTGATGTTACAGAGTGTAAATTAAGCTATTTGACTTTAAAATCTACTTTTAAACAGCTTTATTGAGGTCTAAATTGACTCACAGTAAGCTTTACATATTCAAAGTGAATTAAGTTTATACCACAATTTACATGTCGATTTACCTGTTGATATTTAGGTTTGTTTCCTGTTTGGGGCCGTTACAAGTAAAACTGTCATGAATATTCATGTAGCAAGTCTTTATATGGACATAATGCTTTCATTTCTCTTAGTGATTGCCTAGTTGTGGAATGGCTGGGTCAGATGGTAGGTGTGTGTTGCTCTTCTTACCAGACTTTTCCAAAGTGGTTATACTATTATTCTACATTTCTGCTAGTAGAATGTGAGGGCTGTATTCCACATCTTTGCCAATATTTGGTATGGTCAGTTGAAAAGCTTGTTTTCAGGTTACTACCTTTTGATGGCTTTTTTCATGTTGTCACAAAACACATAAGAATTATTTGGAAAAAGTATAAAATGGGCCAGATAGCTAAATGTTTTTAAGTTAAACTTAGAAGTATTTTGAGTTATTGCAGTGCTAAGAGATGGTTTACTAGAAAATTGAAAAACTAGGGGATATAGTGCTCTTTTAAGAGGTTAATTTTGTAATGTGTGTACCTGTTTTATATGTGTATTTTTTTCCTTTGATAGAGTTTTCCAGAAAAAGACCTTCTGCACTGTCCATCTAAGGATGCAATTGAAGCTCATTTTATGTCGTGTATGAAAGAAGCTGATGCTTTGAAACATAAAAGTCAAGTAATCAATGAAATGCAGAAAAAAGATCACAAGCAGCTCTGGATGGGATTACAAAATGGTAAATATAATAATACTGTTTAATTTTGGAATACCACTTTATAAAATATGATACAGCCATAACCCTGTGAGTAATTGATAACATTTTAGAATTGGTAGTACAATTTTAAATTTTAGCCTTCATGCCCAGATTTGCACAGAAACTACTTTAGTCATTCCTTACATTCTGCTTTCAGTGTCCCTCTGTTCCTGTATTCTCTAGCATTACACTGATTGCTTAGCCCCCAACATATGGCATATGTCGTATAAACTCGTGATTAGCTTCTGAAGGAAGTGCTGTTACTCTAAGGATGTGGTCCTTATTCCGCAGGCATGACCTTTCTGTGGGCAAAATGTAAAATCCTGGATGTGTACAAAGATACCTCCATTTGTGTGGGGATTGAACTCCAACCTCTGCTTTTTCGGGACAGTAGACTTGCTTCGTGCTTCAATTCCCTTTTTCCTTGCTGTGGTTTAGAAAATACTCTCAAGGAAAAAGCTAAGTGGAATGTGGTGCTCATCTCTGTATTCCTCACGTTTTGGAGAATATAACTCTGTGATCTTGCCTGCATTGATCACCCTCTAGTGTCTTTAAACAGTTGTTTTATGTACAGATTGTCCTCCCTTTCCATGGTTCCAGTATGCATGAATTTCAGTTACCATAGTTTAGTTATATAACACCAGGTCCCCAAGTGTATGGTTCAAATTTCAATTACCATGATATATTAACTGTACGTAATTACATTAAATGCAAACTTCATTGCTAGTTTAGTCCAGGAATCATTACATAACAACAGATGAGCTTATGATCAGTGATAAATTATGCCACTTCCTTGCATATCTGTCAGTGATTGGCCTCGCCTGTCTGTTATTCATTTTACCCACAGATGGCAAAGCATGTAGTTGTGTTGCCTCCTTGTCTCCAGCAATAAGCCCATGTAACATTTTATTAAAATGGGTAATTGAAAAAGGGAATTGGCCAAGAGAGGTGAAAATGCAAAAAGAAACAAACTGATAATGTTAGGAATGACATTTGAATAGAAAGAAAGGGAGTTATAGAAGCAATAGCTGACTTTGGAAGTGTTGACATGGCTGCCCTTCAAGAGACTATGCAACCAGGGTAACTTCTTATTGAGGAACTTACATGCAGTAAAGGCGAACATCTTGATTTAAATAAGGAACATAGTTGTGACAAAAGGGAAGATGTCCCAAAGGAAGTGGTGCTATAAAAAACTTCATATTAAAGGAACTCTCAGACATTTTATGATATTGAAATACAAATAACAACATGTTAGGAGTTGATTAAAATGTAGAAAGAATGACTTCAGTTCACCAAGGCATAGAAAAGATGCTTGCCCATAAGTTATATGTTGAGAAAGCAAGTACTCTTCAAACGATAGTTCTTAAGTTTTTACAAAGAAAACTCTTTTGGCTGGGTGTGGTGGCTCAGGCCTGTAATTCCAGCACTCTTTAGGAGGCCCAACTGGGAGGATCACTTGAGGCTAGGAGTTGGAGACCAGTTGGGGCCACATAACAAGACCCTATCTCTACAAAAAAATTTAAAAATTAGCCAGGCATGCTGGCATGTGCCTGCAGTCATAGTCAGGCTAAGGCAGAAGGATCACTTGAGCCCAGGGAGTTCAAGGTTACAGTAAGCCATTATCATGCCACCACATTCCACCCTGGGTGACACAGTGAGACTCTGTCTCTGAAAAAATGATAAATAAAATTTAAAAATATAACTCTTTAGTTCTCAGTGTTTCTGTGTTAAATTACAATGTACTAAATAAATATTAGGATTTTTAAAAACTTCTTATTTTCAAGTATAGCTTTATTGTGGTGTTTTGTTTTGTTTTGTTTTGTTTTGTTTTGTTTTGTTTTGAGATGAAGTTTCACTCTGTCACCCAGCCTGGAGTGCAGTGGCGCAGTCTCAGCTCACTGCAACCTCCACCTCTAACGTTCAAGCAATTTTCATATCTCAGCCTTCTGAGTAGCTGGGGTTACAAGCATGTGCCAACATGCCTGGCTAATTTTGTATTTTTAGTAGAGACAGGGTTTAGCCATGTTGGCCAGGCTGGTCTTGAACGCCTGGCCTCAAATGATCCTTCCACTTTAGCCTCCCAAAGTGCTGGGATTACAGGCGTGAGCCACCATGCTCAGCCTCTAGTGTACATTTATAACCAACAGTAAGAGTTGAATGTTTTGACAACAGTTTTTAAAGATTGTAGAACAATCATAATTTTACGTATTAGTTATTAAGATCACTTTGCTTAGTTTCAACTTGCATGATTACTTCTCCAGTCCCATACTACCATGCAAAGTGAGGGCATGTCCTGTAATTCGTCTATCTTCAACAGTGTTTTTGGCCAGAGAGTTAGTCCAGTGTACATTCTTGCATGGCAATGACTAGAATAAAACAGAAGAAAACCTCCAGCTCCCATAATTTTTAAAAAATGTAGACTGGGCATGGTGGCTCACACCTGTAATCCCAGCACTTTGGGAGGCCAAGGCAGGTGGATCATAAGGTCAGGAGTTTAAGACCAGCCTGGCCAATATGGTGAAACCCTGTCTTTACTGACAAAAAATTAACCTGATGTGGCGGTGCATGCCTGTAGTCCCCGCTACTCGGGAGGCTGAGGCAGAATTGCAGAGGTTGCAGTGAGTCAAGATCATGCCACTGCACTCAGCCTGGGCAACAAAGTGAGACTCCGTCTCAAAAAAAAAAAAAAAAAGTGATCTAGTTTTAACTTTTGGACTATACTATTACTACATCAAATGGGTGTTTGTAGGTATTTAGTATTCGTTAAACTTCCATTATACAATATTTAGGGCATTTCTGTGGTATCAAGAGCAAGTAAAACATGTATTTTATGACAGTGTATTCTGTAAATTACATTTTTTCATTTCTCATTTCTTTGTTTTAAATTTTTTGGATTTGACCTAGGTTACATGGAGTCACTCCTTAGTTTCATATTTATACATCTGGTATTTCTCAACTAGATTATAAGCTTTGCAAAGTTAAGCACTAGGCCTCTTACCATAGTTTGATTACTGACTTCACAAATTCTTATTAAATGATTAAAATAATTTATACCTCCTTAAGAAGGTGTACTGCCTTTTTTCTTGCTGATGATTTGAAGATTAAATGATATTTTAGGACACTTGTAAATAACAAGATAGCCTAAATGGAGGAAGATGGGGATTGTGTAAAGAGAAGGATTTGAATTAACTTCGGAATTGAAGTTAATAATTTAATTAGACAGATGAGTAGGTATTCTTAAAGTCTATTGTGAATGGCTGAGTCTGCTAAAAAGGACTCAGGGATTCAGCAGAGGATTTTACAAATGATTTAAATGTTTCATTTGGGGCATTGGAAGATTCGGATAAGCGTTAGAAAAGGAACAAAGGGCTGGTACTTAGTCTCAGGTCTTAGAAGTCCTTAGGTCAAATCAGCCCTTTTTAGCTTCAGTTTTTTAATCTATAAAACAAGAGAATATCTGTTATGTTTGCCTCATTGGTATATGTGGAGGCTTTAATGAAACACTGATACAGTTTATGTGAAAATGTTTGAAAGGGAGTAAAGCTGACTTGATGAAAAGAGTTAGTGAGAAGTAACTTTTAGATTCCAGGACAGGGTTGGCAAATATGGTCATGGGCCAGCCACCTGTTTTTGTAAGTAAAGATTTACTGGAACTCAGCCACAATCATTCATTTATGTATTATCGGTGGCTGCTTTCAGTAGCAGAGTTAAATAAGTGAGAGGAGACTATGTGGCTCACAAGCCTAACATACCTATTATCAGGCCTTTTAAGAAAATGCTTGTCAACTAATAAAAGGCTGGTTGACCAAGCTACAGCTCATGTTTATCTTTGACCTGAAGTCTGACTCAAAATGTTACACATTCAGAACTGGGTATAACATATTGTAGCAGACTCAATCTAATAACTGCATTTTTTACAGTTTTTTTAGGCATAAAATTACTTTGTTTCTGCCTTGGCTCATGTTGTTTCTTGAGTATGTGACTGTTGTAAACATTTCTTTATTAAATTTTATTAAATTAATTTTAAAATGAAGTTTGATTAAGTCCAACTTAAAATTATGTTTGGTTAAAATTTTCTTTATTCCATTTTATTTTGGGTTATAAATTATTTTTATAGCTATTATGTTTGGTTTCATTTGTGATGGTTATGATTAAGCTTACACTACTATGTTTGAGCTAATATACCTCTCAAGACTTCGAGTAGTCTTGTGAGAGTTCTTCACAGCAAAGTCTAATGAGAAGTATGCTGTGTATACTGGAGTCCTTGGTATCTGTTTATTCAGAATGAGAATATTCGTTTCGGAAATATTTGGCTAGGTAAATGTTGCTTGTAGAAAATATATTTTGGAGTAAAATGCTGAATGCTAATTAACATAAATGGGTAAAAGGTGGATGTTTTCTATTCTGTTTCTTCTATCAAGAATACTTTTTTCCTCTTTAACTCCTACTGATGTTTTAATGCTCATCTCAGTTGCCACTTTCTATAAGAAGCTTTCCTTCTTTTACTGTTTTAGCCAACAGACATTTATTGAACATCTAATATATACCTGACATTATGTTAGGAGCTAGTGGTCATTCAACAGCACTGATGGGACAAACATGGCTCCTGTCTTCACAGAGCTTTATAGGAAAGTGGAGGCAGAATTGTTAATGCTTTCATGCTATTGTGACTCCTTGTCCATTTATGCATTTTTTTCTCTTGTATTTTATCATACTCTAGTGTAGTTATATGGTTTATGTATTTTGCTGGCATATCAATTAGGCTGGTTGGAGTATATCTTACATTTTTACATCCCTGACACCTTGTATGGTCTTTGGCAGAGAGTAAAGAAACTGAATATTAACTGCATGACTTCTTTATTCCTTTCTAATACTACCAGGAAATAATATTAACAAATTTTCATAAATAGTTTACTATTAATATAAACTAAAGGAAGTGTCGTGTTTGAATTTATTTATAGAATTGGATTTTATATAGAGTT